TAGAGCAGCTGTTTCCATGAAGACCCCAGCTTGCAAAAAGTGTGAAAAATTAAGTTTGCCCAAAAAAGACCAAATAAATTGAAAGAAAGAGAGAGAAATGGAAAAAGGAAAGAAGATTAAGGCTAGAGAAACATAAGCGGCACCATGTAATATGAAAAGAAAACAGGATTTCTAAAAAACACATTTAGAATTATTGGATGAATCAAAAATTCTGTGCTTTGAAGTATCATATATTAACATAACTTGTCTATAATGTAAATCTATAAGATCTATTGACATTGATWTCACCAAGAGTAGCTCCAAATAACWTATATTGCTACCGATCCAATATGCTTACCCATGTGGTGTAGGCATWCCGAAGTTGCGTTGAATATTCTCTTTGGTATTTCTACCCTTCTGATGACCCATAAACATGAATCGCCTGCCATCTATTGTTCCAATACCCGTCACTATTGCAGGATCATCATAGCCGCCYCGGTCACCATGAAGCTCAACAAACTGTACATTTTGATTTAAAAAAGGGTCTATCATGTGGGATTCTTTCAAGTAACTTTTTAAGTTTTCAACTTCAGAAAAATTAGAGAGCTTTGAGAGCATCAAGTACCAGACCTTATCAGTAATGCTGAAGACATGATCAAGAAAAGTAGGCCTGTTWGGGTGTCGTGCAMTATTAACCCGCTGTATGGGAGTCAGATGTGTATAGAGATCTTTAAGAGCCTGTAAATGAGTACATAAAAAGATTAASCAGAYGTGACTGATCAGCAACGTGACTATTTAATTATAAATTAAAAGAAATCCCCGGGAAAGAAGATCCATTTTAAAGATCTGTAATAGCTATAGGCTGTTTGGAKGGTTTCTACCAAGTCCTGTATGGGAAAAGTTGTTTGTGTAGATTAATCTGTCTATATAGATCGGGAAGGTTTTTGTTRGAAGGGTTTTTTCATAGATGAAAGGCACGTTTTTTAATTGAGAGGGGGAGGTTTGGAATCTTTTTGGCTTTCTGCATAAAGCCCCCCCTAGAAGCTTACTGAATAAGCCACTTTCTATATCATTAAGCCACTACTAAACAGTCATATATAGCTGACTGAATAAGCTGTGAGTCCCATTAAGCTCATTAAGCTGCTAACAAACAGACCCTTAACTTCTAAGTTCTAACACCCATCCAAGGGATTTAGTTGTTATTACCAGTTGTCTACTTCATCATCACAAGGGTGGGATGGACAACGACCTAATGCAAATATATACAATAATATTTCTATTCCAAGCACAAAATTTATCATGTCTGCCTTTCAGGTGTAACGTTTTTTTTTTTGAAGTCTTCCTCTTTTTTATATTTCTGCCAAATCCAAATAAGTAATTGAACCTGCTGATATTTGTTCTCTAATGAGATGATTTGATCACTGAAGTCCAAACCAGTTTCATTAGCCATCTTTTGCACCTGCATACAAACAAAAATTAAATTTTTAGACATCTTCCAAATCTTACTACAAGCGACGACATTAGAGTGGTTTAGGAGGCTTTACATCAATAATCTTCTTCTGTAGATCCATAAGAGGCTTCTCAAATTCCAAGGTAACTGGCTTCGGCTTTTCCTTTAAAGGCTTAAACGGGGAAAGATGACTAAGAACTCCACCCTTAACATTGGGATCAGGATCCTGGGGCCACGGGTACTCGTGCTTCTTCACCTTCCTAACTTTTGCAGAGACACTTAAACGTTTCTTACTTGTGCCAGTATGTCCTCTGCCGAGCGTTCTTAGTGGTACACCATTAACACCATTACTAGAGCTTCGAAGAAGCTCTGAAGCTGCAAKTCCGGAAGACAWMCTCCCAGAAAAKGAAACCGTAGACTGAGATACTGAAGCCATCTCTGGACCCAAAAGTATAGCACTTCAAATTCTCACCCTAATCCACCCACAAACAACAAAGTAAATCAAATGAAATGGGAAAATATCAAAATACACATCAAGCTGAAAGCAGCTTCATAAATATAAATACTATAAAAGGTCAGCATTCTAGTTGAACTCCTACCAAATCCCAAATTTTATTTTCCATAAAGTCCACTCCACCTAGGTTAGCTAACTGTAGAAAATCTGAAGAATTCGTATGCAGCTAAAGACAATATACGTAAATATGAAACCGAAATCTTCTTCATTTCAGACTAATCCAACTTATATATATCTCAATCAAGATCTTCACCCTGATAGGAAATGTTTTCCTTGTTTAAACTCCCTGCATACTATAACTGTTTTCTAGTAAACCAATTAACAAAAAACATTCAAGCAATTGGATGCTATCAGAAAAGGAATTCAAAACCAACACCGTCTGTTGAAATTGGTCAGAGACTCCACATGATTCAGTGTCGTTATTAACCTAATCAGTGATCAATTAATGAGAAAGAAAATACCTGGCTGAGAAGGGCATTAGGGTAGAACTGGGGACAAGCCGAGAGGCAGAGGAGAGGCAGAGGCAGAGGCAGAGACAGAGCGTCAGATAGATCGAGGCTGAGAGCTTGAAGGAGAACGAGAGTCGTGAGTAAGAAACACCTGGTATCGATGTTACCAATGCTGGCTTTCATTGTTGCCTACTTCTTATGATTTTCAACCCAATTGTATGCATTGTTTGTTGCACTATTATTTTAAACAAAAATAAATATCATATAATTTTGATATACATACATACATATATCTATATTATATTATAAAGTTTTTCACAAAAACTATTAAAAATCATTTTTATACATGAAATATTGTTTATTGAAACATATTACTTAAAAATCAATATTACAAGTATATTATGCATAAATACAACTTATTAAAGTTCTATTTTTGAATTTGTGTAACTAACTGCAGATAAACATAATCAAATACATAATAAACATCTCGTTTTAAATATAAAAATTTAAAATATAATTAAAACAATCACTGATTTCTAACAAAATACTTAATTATCATTCTTATAAAAGTTATATTATTAAACAAAAATAAATTACATTGTTAATAAATCTAAATTGAATTAAAAAATTACACAAAAAACAAGAATTTTTGACTAGTTAATTTAATAATAATATCGATATATATTTTTTTTAAATGTATATTTCATTCAAAAATAAAAATATTATTGTTTTCTAAAAATCAGATAAAACCGTATTATATTGACAGAAAAAATGAATAAAATAAAACATTAAAATCGAGATATATCTCGTTGCATTTTGGGAATACCCTTTTAATGTGTATGTGTGTGTGTATATATATAAGTGTGTGTGTGTGTGTGTGGTGGGGGGTGTCAAGTTAAGGCGAAAACCATAAAAAATTAAAAAAAAAATAAACAATCTAATAATTGGTCATCTGGACGGTATACACATGAGCATACAAGTTTTAAGCAATATGTTCGGTATCCACATATGCATAACATGCAAACGTGCATAAAAACCAAAAAAAATTCAAATTATGTGTATTTAAATGTGTGCATACCATCTAAATGAACTGTTATCAGGATGTTCTTTAATTTTTCATTTTTATGGGTTTTTCCCTAACCTCATATTCTCTATAATTTCTCTAAAATAGATAATAATTAAAAATCAAAATCTCTAAAATAGTTTTTCATTTTCTTTAATTTAGAGAATTTGTTGGAGATGTTCTAACAAAGTTTTTTTAGTATAGTCTTGGTTGATGTAGGATAAAGTTTCAAATTTTCATATTTTAACTAGTAGCTTGCTAATCCTGTAAAATTTTATGACAGAGATACTGGTTTATAAAAAAATTACGACTAATCAAATAATAAGCTTGGCATCAATGTCGTCTGATATTATAAGATCGTTCTGCTACCTTTTAAAATCAGTAAAAAGTGGAAAATTTTGAAACGTTGTTACATTAATTGAGAAAAAAAAAAAGTTATCTATTAAATAAAAGTGAAGATAATTTTCATTGCATTTTGATGCATTTTGTCTTAAAATATTTGTTATTGCAGTATATCTTGTGAACTTTTTTTTTATAATCAATAATAGTATTTACTTTGGTAAAAAAAAGACTTAGGGCTTGTTTGTTAGCAGCTTAATGGACTTAATGCGACTAACAACTTATTCGATCAGGTATATATGACTGTTTGGTAGTGACTTAATGATATAGAATATAACTTATTCAGTAAATTCTATGCAGAAAGTCAAGTTTTTTCCAAACATGTTCCTCATAATTAGAAAACATGTTCCCTTTGTCTATAAAATAAAAAAAAAAACTCTTTCAAACAAAAACATTTTAATTCTATACAGACATATTAATCTATACATACAGTTTTATCTATCCATGACTTAATGAAAAACTAACTAAACAACACCTTAAAACTATCATCTAAACTTGACTGCTCCACTTTTTTGAGTTCACATCCAAATACGTTGATCCAATATTATGTCTTGGTAGAAAAACACTGTTGTACGATATATAATACAAACTCTTCATTTAGACAAGACGTATCCATCCAATGCCTATCAACCGGAAAAAAGAATGGAGGGTTCTTAGCGGGTTTGACTCCTGATCACAAAATCTAGAAAAAGTAATATCAAAATTACGTATTAAACCAAGAACCATAACAAAACCAATGAATAGATGCTTATCGTCCAAACAAAAATGTGTTGTCAATATTGTATCGTTGTCTTCACAATGAAGAGAGCACAACGTCGTGTAAACCGAACAATTGAATAATGCTCCCCAATGTTAACGTCTCAAATCCACGAACATATGCACAAAATCATATATCGATGGAGTAAATATATCATACTTGTAACCAAAACTGATAAATTTTGTTTAGAACAAAATAGATAAGAATATTTGACTTTATCGAAATATAAAACCAACTCAACTTCCATAACAGATTTGTTAACAAAAACTGATAAATAATATATTTGAAATCCAAATCCCCCAAATCCATTTCATTTCTGCAAACCAAACTGAACCTTAAATTTCACGATCATATCTGTCATAGATCAATTTATACCTTCAAGTCTATGGTTATGCCTTCGTAAATGCATAGAGGCAATCGGTTAAAGTTGATGTCGAAGTGAGAGAAGCTTTTAGAATCGAAAGTGCCTACATAATCAAATAAATACAGATGTTTGGTTAGATGTATAAACAGTAAATAATAGAACCGAAAATAAAAGAAACTGCATAATTTTACATAATAATCTCATTAAATACTCTGTTAAGATGTCCACGGACAGTTAAGCATCCCAAAACGCCCATGTTTTTGTAGAGTGTGGCGTATGTAAGAAATCTATAGTTCGTTCTCTCTGTTCTCTACGTTAGTACTAGAATTTCTTTTTGTTAAACGTGGGTGTTCGGTCTAACTTACACGCACCTCGGCTAATCCCAAGGCCGTAAAGAACTGAACAGCCAACCAGGAAAATCCCGGTGACCTTGTAGGACTCGAACCGGTGACCTCTGTAAAAGTTCTTTAGAAGGCCAAATTTTATTGTCAGTTGAGCTAATCTCACTAAGTTACTAGAAAATTTTACCTCTTGTTCACCGATGCTCACTTCCAGAACCTCAATATCACCAACAGGAATGCCAAGAGTGTTGAATTTTGAAATCGTAGAAATAGATGGTGGGAGCGATACTTCGAGATCATCCGAGACGATGAATGTTGGTTGCTCCTTCGTGAAACTACCTAACCGTGTATTTGCTGCGTAAATAGGCAGAAAATCCGTCACACGAAGATAATTAGCTGCAATCGTCGGGGAAAGTAACATGGTCTTGACATCCTCAGATTTCAAGTAGTTWCMATCTCCTAAACTCGAAATACTATTGTACAGATTATCTATAGCCATCGGAGAAGAATTATCCATCGTTAAACGTTTTACAGCGCCCAACGGGATCGTTAGAAAGCTGAAGAGCAGTTCTATAAAAAACTTCTCGACTTGTGCACATAAGACCTTCTTCTTTGATTTCTGGACGAGTAGTTTCATCGTCTGAGGCTGGACCGATTCACTTGACGGCAAATGTGAACTACTTGGTGTCGAATTCGTGATGCACGATGAACACGGGAACGTTTTACTTCCTCCAAGAACGAGATTCGTCAATGGATTATTTGTTAACAATGACCACTTGAGTAGATTTGAAAACTGAAATAGTAATTGAAGCCGGTGTCAGAACGAAACTGTTATAATATGTGGAACCCCTTTAAATCCAGACAAATATAGAGCCTAGATGGACTGTGTCTACACTACAACAAAACTAGGTTTACAAGACGCCAAAAATGTTTAAGTATCCCAATAGACTACTTTATAGGAGTTCATTTTATAGGATCAGACGTCTTATCTAAGAGTGTCGCAATAAGTTTAGGACGCTTTTGGGTGTCTTAACAAACTTTTTAGGACACTTTTAAAATAAAACGTTGTATTAACTATTTTATATGATGCTATTTGAAAAAGTGTATTACAAAAACAAGTGTCATATAAAAAGATGTGTTCATAGAACACTTTTCAAAATGTTCTACAAAATAGCTAATGCGACTCTTTATTTTAAAACTTATTAAGATATCCAAAAACGTCGTATATACTTATAACTAACAATTTTAGATAAGACGTATTATTATTTGTCCTATAAACTTAAGATATATAAAACGATCTATTATGACACTTGGACATTCTTAGCATCCTATAAACCTGATTTTGTTACAGTGCTAGGTGGACGTGAGAGTCCAACCGATGATTTTCTTAAAACATACACACCGATAATTTAACCAAAATGTTACCTCTTCCAAGCCGAATACGACAGTTCTCTCATCTAGCAAATCAATGTAATCGACACCAAGAGTGTTAAAGAGTTCGATGCCTCTGTCGAGCAAGACGGGTATAATGTTGAGATCATCCGTGATGAGGAACGATCCCTTCTCTTTTATCAACACCGCATCACCATGATCATCGTCGTTAGAATCATCGATGGTTGGCTTCATCTCGTTTAGATTTACTTTCAGTTTCTGACAAAGATCAGCCGATGAATTTCTTGGATTAACCAACGCAACTTTACACTCCTCGTTGGAGAAACGCTCGATGTCAAGATTCACAACACTTTCGTATAGAGACGTCAAGCTTCCAACTTTTACATTCTTTTCGTCCTCGTGATTGATCGAGAGTCTTGCGATTTTTCCCAGCGGCAAAGTGAGAAAACTGAAGAGAATTTCGACAAAGTCTTGATCTGCTTCCGCAAACATCACTTTTTTCTTCTTTTTGTCCACGAATACTTTCAGGCAAACTGATCTCGCGTTGCTTCCCATCGGTCTGTGATCAAGCTAACCACCTTTTTCGTGTCTTCGTCGTCTGATTGAGACCGCGAAAGATTGAAATGTGATTCGGGTTTAAATGGATTTCCAGTTTCTTTGTTCAGACTCACACTTCAACTAAGATTCTCATCACTTTATTCATTAGTGAAGCAAAACTAGAAGAAACTTTCTATGTTGGTTTGAAATCAAGTTATGTTTCCATTCAGACAAAGTATATGCCATACCATGATTTGTAGAACACCCAACCAGATACCTTACTCAGATTCTTGGGTGATGTGTGCTAGTCTATGGGTGGGTAATTGTTCTTAATCAAATCAGACAAGCTAAACAGACGTCAGCCTCTCCTCAAACGGATTCATTTCTAAAATCATTCTAGTATACAAAGAAACAGATAAAGATAAACCAAAATAACCTATGTAATAGAAGCCAAGTCTAAGTCGGTTGAATCACTTGGTTGATGTCATGATGATGTGCGCCAAAATCAAATCATGGATTAGAAAGATTAATAGATTGATGGAGTTCTTGAGTAATTTCAAAATTTGGAKACCGTCAATATCAAATGTGTGTCGATATGTTCAATGGCTTTAGTCGTCGATTTTGATTATGTTAAATGTTAGGCTTAGGGATATATCTGGATCATAGCCAATAAGTTAAAAAAGTTGAGCTTGCTAATATTAAAATAGATATAGATATATATATATATATATATATCTATATATTTGGCGGTCGGTTTGGTCCAAACCGCCCAAAAAAGGTTCTAAACTGCAGACCGGACCGGACCGCCCGGTTTTGCTATTTTCCAAACCTGATCGGACTGTCAGACTGCTCAACGGCTTTTTTGAACATCCCTATGTTTAGCAGACCAGAAAAAGGAACAAATGCCTTTAGACCGGGCTTTGTTTTCTATACAATTCATTGGGTTAACTCATTGCCCCTTTGTTAGTTTTGCAGCTACCGAATGGAGGACTTGTAGACATTTCATTAATATTAATAGAACATATGCAAACAAAGGGCAAATATCCAAATATATTACATGAATTATTAGAACTAAATATAGTGAGAATTACCTACATTGTACATCAAAATTAAGTTTATAGGACATCTCCAATCTTTAAACGTCTCAATAGAGCGCTTTATAGGACTTAATTTATAGAACCAAAATATAAAGCGTCCTATCTAAAGGTGTTGTAATAAGTTTATATGACGTTTTTGGGCGTCTTAATAAGTTTTTTAGGACATTCTCGATACAAAGTATCACATTAACAACTTTATAGAACATTTTTTAGAAAGTGTCCTACAAACTCATTTTTTATAGGATACTTGTTTTTACAAGACAATTTTTCAAATAGTGTCCTATAAAGTTGCTAATGGGACGCTTTATATTAAAAGTGTCTTAAAAAACTTATTGCGACGTCAAAACGTCATATAAACTTATTACAACGCCTTTAAATATGACACTTTATTTTTTTGGTCCTATAAATTAGGTCTTATAAAGAGGTCTATTAGGATGATTAAAAATTGGAAGTGTCCTATAAACCCAACTTTATTGTAGTAGTAACAATTTGGAGGCAGTAGCTACTTCATCCCAAATTCAACCGCCGATGTCGCTCGATCCAAGCGTCTTTGATGGACGATAAAGAGGCTAAATCCATAAAAGTATAAAAGTAAAAAAAAAATAGTAATTTTTGCAAGCAAAACGTTCATAAACCCATTATGCTACACATTAGTGAGAATAATTACTTAGTAAAATCATGATAAAGCTTGGACACAAATAACATAGTAGATTGAAAGAAACAAAGATAACTTTGTTGATTCTTACCCCGGTTTCCGCTTTCACATATTTATTATGCCGCCATTGCCAATGATATGCAGTACAGTTAGCTACACATTATTTAGGATGATTACTTAGTAAAATCGTGGTAAAACTTGAACACATATAACATAGTAGATTGATAGAAACATATATAATTTAACATCCCGGATGCAGTCCTGACTCCTGACCAAGAACATCCGACCTGTTCTCCATGTACAAATCCCGGCCCCTAGAACTGGTCTCGGACTGGCCAAATTGGTCCTAAACTTTTTCATCAAAGTTTAACTTTCAACATAAAAAAAAAACTTGTTTGAAGAATTTTTTATGTATGATATCTTATTGAAATCTGCTTTAAAATCTCTAATGGGTCATTTAAATACACTTAAAATATTTTTTAAATCTTTTTCACACAAAAAAGTTATAAATGTTTCTATAATTACATTTTTTAAAGTTTAGTGTTGTAATATTTAAAAAACTTTAAGAATGAAATCTTGAAATCCCCATCAAGTATGATTAATTTATAACCTTTACATCATCGTACTATCTAAACACACATCCGAATGAACAGAGAATAAACCAATCATATTAGAATTCAATAGATCCTTTAAACAATACCAAACAATAAGTCTTCACTACTTCTATGAGTCAAGAAAAGTGTGGTCAGTTTATGACATATTCGAAAGTCCCATACCTGGTCTTCGAGCAAGGCCGGCTTTGAGTTTTCATAAAAACCGTAACTGGCCTCGGACTGTCGGTCAATAACTGGGCCTTACCAGCCCTGGGCTGGGCATGGGCCCATTTTGGCCACAACCAAAAGGAAAGCGATCGAATCATAGAGGAAACACACAACCAAAAAAGAGCCCATGTACTGTAAAATTTTTAAAAAGAACGCAGCAAAAAGAGAGAAAAAGATCGGTTTTAGAGGAAGCCTAAAAATTCAGCAAAAACAGGATCATTCCAAATATACAAAACTCAAATAAAAATTTAAGGTTGTTAAAAGAAACAAACAAAAAAGAAGACTATTCCCATAAATACCAATGCAAACATTTTATTTTAGAGGCTCCATTTGTTTGTTTTGCATCAAGGACAATTTAACCTTTGTGGTCAATAGATCCTTTAAACAATACCACGCACTAATTATACTTATACGCATCTGATCTCACAACTACAAAAATCTCATGTGAAACCAATATCATATCAAAGATAGAGCAAACCTTTTTCTCGATGCCCGAGGTTGTAATTGGAGCACCACCAAACAACGGCAAACCCTGGCTCATGGGGGACGATTTTTCGTACCATAGACCAAGTTGAAGAGGAGAGAAAACATAGAACCGTTAAGTCTACTTATACCCATCTAATCCAACAACTACAAAAATCTCATGTGAAACCAATATCGTATCAAAGATGGAGCAAAATATAAAATGAAACATTAAAATCAAAATGTATCTCGCTGCATTGTGCGAGTACCATTCTAGTATATATATATATATATATATATATATGTGTGTATATGTACTAAAACATATATATCTAGGTTTTTCTGAACTAAAATCACGTAAATGATAAAGATCCACTGATAAATTTCATTCAAGTAAGCTTTGCAAATGGCAGTACACAAAGTTGAATGCACCAGTGTAAAGGATTAACATTGTAAAGGATTAACATTAATATCAATACAAAACAGAAATATCATGACTAGATCTACCAGCAACACATGTATTGGGGATTTAAGACGACGGTTCTGCCTTTTGTTTCCTTGTAAATGCAATGAGGCAATCAGTTAAAACTGATGTCGAGGTTAGTGAAGCTTTGAGAATTGCAAGTGCCTGCATAATCAAGGGTGTAATGCATATAAAACTAACTAGAAAATGTATTCATCATTCATGTTTCTAAATGATATATAGCTTACCTCTTGTTTACCAATGCTCACTTCCACAACCTCCACATCAGGAATGCCAATTGTGTTCAACACAGAAATTATAGAAGTAGATGGTGAAACTGTTACTTTCAGATCATCAGAAACAATGAATGTTGCATGTTTCTTGAGGAAATGACCTGAGCATACTCTTGGGTCATAAATCGGCAAAAGTTCAGTAACACGTTGATAATTAGGTGCAACCTTTGGGCTAAGTAACATGGTCTTGACATCTTCAGATTTCAAGTATTCTCCATCTCCTAATCTTGTAATACTCCCGAACAGATTATTTATAGCCAACGGAGAAGAATTATCCATTGTTAAACGTTTTACAGTACTTAATGGGATGGTTAGGAAGCTGAAGAGCAATTCCACA